CCTGACAAAGGAAAACTCCAATCTTTGAAGGAGTGCACCAGTCATTCCATGGATAAAGTTCTGATAAATACAACCTCACAGCCAAAATCACAACATACAAGAAATGGAAGGCAATATGAGCAAGAGAGAGCAAAAGTTATAAAGAGCAGAATCCAAAGCACAAAGACTTCATGTCCTGAAGATGACAGAATAGAAAAATATTTCAATTTCTATGTTTAAAGAAATAAAAACAGGTATTAAAAATACGGCCAAGAAACTTTATCAGTAAACAAGTAGATTTTTTAAAATAACAAAACAAAAACTTTCACAAGTAAAAAATATTATAGTTAACTCCAAAAGTACTGTTAATAGAAATTCACATCTAAATAGTGTTAAGAAACAGAAAAAAGTCTGAAGCAATAACTCAGAATGCATTAACAGTAGAGATGGAAAATACAGTCGAGTGGAGTCAAAATGCAGAAAGGAAGAGTCATGACCAAGGTGAGACAGTTTCATATGTATTTCCACATGGGTGGGTTTTCCTAAGAAGGATATTAGGACAATATGAGAGAAGAGGCAATATGCAAAGAAATAATGGATAAGAATTCTTTAGAACTGTTCAAAGTCAATTCTAAAATCCAGTTTTAAGTCAAATAAACCCAAGCAGGATAAAATAAAAATAAATCTTTCCCTTAAATACTTGATAAACTGCAGAGCACCAAAGACACAGAGAATCTCAGAAAAGCAACTAGAAAAAAGAGATTATCTAACAAGAGCAGCAGCTGGACTGAAAGCTGACTTCCTTCTAAGTGGAGTCAGAATGGAGGGGGAAATTCTGTACACCAGGAAAACACACTGCCAACACCGCACTGTATATCCAGCCCTTCTCCCACCTCTCCCCCCAAAACTTTAATAAAACAAAGATTCCATTCACAATAGCTACCAAGGGCCTCAAGTATGGTAGGCAAGCAATCAGATTCTTAACACACTGACTGGAGCTCAACTTTCAGATCCTTTCCTATTACTTAAAGAGTCTTTCAATGAAGTTAATTAAAATGGATGGTAAAGAAAGCACTAGATGAATGTGGTAATCCTAAAGCAAGGAAATCGCTTGCGCTCAGCTTATTTGATCAAGACTTCTGCAAACTATCTAGGAAGTTCAGATGACAGTCTCAATTCTCTGCCATAAAACCAACAAATACAACTGTACTTCTAAGTGAAATTAAATGTTAATGCTAAATTTGGCACAGCGGCACTTGCCTGTAATCCTAGCTACTCAGGAGTCCAAGGCAAGAGAACCAAAAGTTTAAGGCCAGCCTAGGCAATTCAGCAAGACTCTGTCTCAAAATGAAAACATTTGAAAAGAGCTGGAGATGTGGCAGAACACGTGTCTAGCATCCCCTGTCCCAGTACTGCTGAGAGACTGAGAGACAGACAGACAGACAGGGACAGACCAATAGACAGACGGAGACAGAGAATGAGACAGAGACAGAGAAATACTAAACATATTAAAATGGATTCAGTCAGACTAAGAGAATGCTCACTTAAAAGCTGTACTCTGAACCTGTTTATTTAAGAGAATGAGAATGTAAACAGACATTGTCTGTAATTGCAATTTGTAGAAGAAATTTCAATGACCAAATGAATTAAGAAATATCCATGTATTGAAGAACTCTACATAGCCCTGTAAGAACATAAGTCTATGTTTTCGGACATAAAAAGAAGTCTATATAAATGAAATACACAAACTACAGACTAATATATAGTGATCTCACTGATGTAAAACAAAAGCAAAAGTGTTTGCAAATGCTCTGAATAATGTGAGTGCAAGATCACTCACCATTCTGTTAGCCTTGGGAAAAGAGTGAGATTTCAGAAAGGAAATGAAAAGCTTTCAGGTTTTATTTTTTATAGAATAAGAATGTATTTATTTTAGACTTTTAATGAAAATATAAAGAATTACAAATAAGTGCAATGATTCATAAAAAGAAAAAATATGAAAAGCATTAGAAGCCAGGTGGGGTGGTACATGCTTGTAATTCCCACACTCCAAGAGCTGAGGCAGGAGGATGGCAAATTCAAGTCCAGCCTGGACAATTCAGCCACTTAACAAGACCCTGTCTCAAAATAAAAAATGAAAATGAGCTGGGGATGTAGCTCAGGGCAAAGGTCCTGGGTTACATCTCCAGGGAAGGAGGGAGCCAAGGAGGGAGAGAGCCATAGGAGAGGGAAGGGGAGAGGAGTAGCTATAGGAGAGGACAGAATTGCTAATTAGCTTGACTGTGGTGAACATTTCACAATGTACTTTGAATCATCAAGTTGTACACTTTTTATACAATCTTTAATTGTCAACTATCCCTTATAAAGCTGGAATAACAAAGAATTAAATAAAAACGTGTGGGCAGCCTGGCACAGTTCAAGACCGTAACTTATAGTCCAAAAACAAAATGTTTTTCTTAATCTTTGAAAAGAAGCAGAAATTTCAAAGTAATAGCCTTTATTAAGATATCTTTAACACAAGAGAAAAGACAGTATCTGCAGTTGTCTGGTTTTCTCTTCCTAAACATGCTCTTCATGTAAGGTATTTTAACAATTCTTTACTGACTTCACATCTTGGGATGCCAATTTTATAATACCAATAGCTCTCATTTAAAAAAATTTTTTAAAGAGCTGGGGATGTAGCTCAGTGAACAAAAAAAATGCTTAGTCTAACAAAAGCATAAACTGTCCTAACTTCCCTATGGAAATTCCTTATCCTTTAATGAGCATCATTTAAAATAAAATAAATTCCTAGTGACTCTAAATAGAACTCAGCAAAAAGTTAATAATGAAAAGCCTGCTTCTGCTTGGTAAAACAGAAAAATTCTAAATAGTTTATTTATAAAAAATACATTTGCAATGATAACATTTTGCTGCATCGATATCAGGCAAAATTACAACAGTACATTCTAAGAAAAAACAACAAAACAAAAATAAACATTTCAGCATCATCAATAGCCACACAGACCATCAATGCCAAGATTCAGACTTAAGCTGCCAGATTCCTCCACTTTTCCAGAAATGGCTCATTTCTCAATCCCCTCTATTCCTGCAACACAGCATGCATCATTTTGGGAAATTTCTAATTGTCAGATTCTCCTAAAAGTTTAATTCAGTGAACAAATGCTTCTTGTTACAAAATTCAGTAATTGTAACACAATTATGGGTTTAACATGTAAAGTCCTGAAAGCATTTCTAGACAGATGAATCGTTTCAGAGTTACAGCTTTCCTTAAGTCTGCCTACACCAAAACACATGTTTTTTCAATTATAGAGCAAAGAGTATGGCTTCTGTTCTAGCCTACATTTTATGGTTTGTAAAATTAGAGACAGATACACACACATACAAATATACACACACATATAAATATTTACACCTAGACTGTCTTTATAGTTGCGTATAAACGTTGAAAGGTTTAACATATAGTGTAAGAAGTTATTTTACATATGTATGGGGAAATTAATGTTAATCTCAAGTGGATAATTCATTCATAAAGAAGGCTTTTTAATCTCACAGACAGATTATGTGCTATCATTATTTATGCAACTCAGAAAAAGTTAAATGAAAATATTACTGAACTCTAGCATATATATACACACACATATACACGCTGTCCATCAGGTGGCTTGTACCACTTGCTGGGACTGTCCCATGCTACCCAATGAACAGTCATGCATGTAGCATCAGTGGTTCAGAGCCATCTGGCAGCAAGACATACAATTTATGGTCACATTGTGAATGTGTTAAAAATTAAGCCTGGGGCTGGAGGTATAGCTCAGTGACAGAGCACATCTCTGAGGCCCTGGGTTCAATCCCCAGCTCCAAGGATAAAAAGTAAAGCCCAGTTCTCCTTTCATTCTCTGCCGGGAACCGCAATATTGATTACGCCCAAAGCGCGCGGTCAGCAGCGCAGGCTGTGAAGAGTTAAGCCCCTTCATTGGCTTGTTTTAAGAAGCGAGTCTGGCTGAAGCTCCGTGAAGCTCTCACTGGAGAGTCTCATGAGCACGACCTCCCCGCTAACGGCCACAGCGAGACCAGAGTAAAGGCCCACGAAGCTGTGCGGCTGACACAAGGCAACATGCACAGCTGAGGTCGGAGTCATCACGCCCAGACTCCATTCCCATAACTAGAACCTTCATAACTAGAAGGACAATGTTTTCATTACAACCATATATTTTGTCTATCTTGTGTCTAATTTGAAAACGCTTTGCCTCTTCTCTTTGAAGCCTTGCGTGCCTTCGTTTCCATGGAAACCTCACGACGTGCATCTTCACACGCAGTCCCATCCTTGCAAGTAGCTCGCCCTTACCCCGGCCAATGAACAATAAAAATCAGTGGACGAAACTGACCGGGGTCTTTTGCTGGGTTCAGCATTGGCCGTCGCAGTTCCCATTTCTCCTTAATTCTGTCTTTCTCTTCAGCCTTGCGTCATACTTTGAGCGGGAGACTAGAGCCCACTGCAGAGGTTTTTAGCAATTCTCAATTTTAATTCTGTTCTCATCTCCCTCAGCACACTCCCTCCACCTAAAATAAAGTTCAATTTTTTTTTTTTTTGGTACCGGGGATTGAACTCAGGTCCTTGCGCTTGCTCAACTTCTTATATATAACTTCATAGAGACCTAAAAATGCATAGGAACCTCTTCCCCTTCCTTTTGTGACTGCATCCTCTGGACAGAGGCAAATAAAAAGGATCTTGAATTTGAATAAAGGATCATTAAGTCTAGTTGTTAAGATTTTTATTTCAAATTATTGTTTATTTTATTTTTAATTAGTTAAGCTAAATAAAGAGTAAAGGGTTTAAAACAAACTACATACCATATTATCACTCTTAACATGGCTTTTTTTTTCTTTTTTTTTTTCTTTTTTTGGTACCGGGGATCGAACTCGGGACCTTGCACTTATGAGGCAGGTGCCGGAACCACTGAGCTACATCCCCAGCCCAGCACAGCTTTTTGAGACTTAGTCACTTATTTTTCCCACAGTTCACTTTGAATTATAATAAAATATACCTAACATAAAATTTACCATTTTCACCATTTTTAACATATATATCACATTGTGTATAATTATCATCATCATCTATCTCCAGACTTTTTCATCCTTCCAAACCAAAATTCCATTCATCAAACACTACTTCCATTCCCCCATCCCCTGGAAATCGCCATTCAGGGTTGTGTCTCTAGGCATTTGACTACTTTAGGGACCTAATGAAAGGAAAGCCAGACAGGGCTGGGTGTAGCTCAGTGGTACAGTGCTTGCCTAGTATGCACAAGGCCCTGGGTTCTATCCTCAGCACTGCAAAATAATAAATGCAGTACATCAAATGAAGGGAGTACGCTGCATCTTTGAATACACTGGCCAGAACTCCACATTGGGCTATGAACACTACTGCAGCCATCTTCTGAGCATGAACAAGAATGTGGCCATCTTCCCCATTCTGATACATGGTTGAGGCTTCCTCTAGTCAAGATTGCAATCGCAGACAGACCTGTGCACACTTGCTGTGAACCTTTGTGTGATTTTTAGCACATACATTCATCCAGCATGGCTGCAAAGAAAGCACAGACAAGCATGATGGTACAAAGAAAGTGCAGAGTGCTAACAAAGGTAACCAGAATGTGCCCAGCAGTAAGGAAGGGGAAAAGAAAATGCAAGGCAAGAATGGGAAGAAGAAGATTCTGAAGAAAATAACCATTGAATTGAAGAAGGAAATTGTAGGAAAACATGACTGTGATGTGTGTGAATGATCTGACCTTAGAGTACAAGATGGTAAAGTCAACAATCTCAACTTTTTGAAGAATAAAGATGCCATCAAAGGAGCTGATGTGGCAAAGGAGTGACGATGTTAACCAAGCAGAGCACACAAGTGCTAGAAGAGGTAGAAAAACTTTTGTCAGTGCAGTTGAATGAGAAACAGCTGCCTGGTGATAGCATTAGTGAAGCTATGATCTGTGAAAAAGTCAGGAAATCGCACAGTGACTTACTGCAAGAAAACCCCTCTACAAGTGTAACAAGTGATGGATGTGAAGCCAGAAGAGCATGGTCTGATAAATTCCACAAGAGAAGTGGCCTCCACAGTGTGATAAGACATGGTGAGGCTTAAGTTCTCACAAAGCCAATAAGGAAACCCACAAGAAAGAATTCATGGAATTCATGAAGGCAGAAGGATAGGTTGCTCAACAAGTGCTCAACTGTGAACAAACGGGGTTTTCTGGAAGTAGATGCCAAACATGACCTATGTCACGGAGGAGAAAAAAGCACGGCTGGGGTACAAGGCCATGAAAGACAGACTGACCCTTTTACTGTGTGCAAATGCAAGCAGCAATCTGAAGATTAAGCCACTACTGGGGCACCATTCCCAGACCCCTTGTGCATTCAAGGAACAGAGTGAACAAGACTAGACTGCCTGTCAAGTGGAGGGCAAAGTGAAAGCTTGGGTGAGGTGAGTTAACTAACAGGCAACTTGGAATGCCCAGCTGAACTGAATCAGCGTGGTCTGGGTGTGGAAGACCCACCTGAGGATTGTTGCCAGTAACCATTAAAAGAGAAGTGGAGGGGAAGATCGTGGGCTGTTGATTTTCTAGGAGAAGCGTCCTGAGGCTGGTTTTCCTGATGTGAACTTGGCTGTTCTCATCAGAGGAGGAGCTTGCTCAGGGCCTCACTGTCACTGGGAATGGCTGCTGTTCTCAGGGGAGCTCTGATCTTCACCATGAGCATCCCTTCCTGGCTCCAATGTAGACCCCTCAGCCTGGTGTCATAAATCCTTCACCCCACTGCCAGTTTCTCTGGCTTCCACCACTGGCCTTTGGGCCTTCCAGGGGCAGATCCTCAATATGGACAAGCATGAGACACTGCCATGGGCTCTAGGCCACTGGCTGGACTCATGGGGGACATTGCCTTAGACTCTAAGCCTTTAGCTGGACTTGTGTGGGACATTGCTGTAGGATCCAGGCCATTGGATTCTTTGGGCCTCTAGTGTACAGTTAGTCACTTGCACTCCTCTGTACTTGACTTTTTGGGTAAATATCACAAAATAATCCTATAAACTATGTGTCCTGTATTAAATCTATTTCCCTTGAAAACCCTGACTACAACCTTGGTTCACAAGGCCATTTTCATGGAATGGATGCATGAGGTGTCACACCCACCATGAGAAACATCTTTCTGACAACCAACAACAGTGCCTTCTTGTGGTGGACTCACCTTCAGCCTTGGTGAGTGATATGGACACTGAGTATGACTTCTTAAAAGTCAAGGTCCTCTCCGGCCGGGGATTCAGCTCAGTGGTTTCACCGCCTGCTGCACAAGCACAAGGACCCGAGTTCAATCCCCGGTACCAAAAAAAAAAAAAGTCAAAAAGTCAAGGTCCTCTCCCCCAACGCAACACCCTTTCTACAGCCCACGGACCAGCAAGTCATCTGCAACTTCAAGAAGCTGTACACAAAGCCACTGTTTACCAGGTGTTTGATGTCCCTGAAGAGACACCCTTGACTCTGAAAGAATTCTGGGAGGAACATTTCAACATCCTCCACTGCATCAGCCTCACTGACAATGCCGGGGAAGATGTCATGTACTGGACCGTAAACTCAACCTGGAGGAAACCGCGGCCAGAGTGTGTTGCTAAACTGACTCTGAAGGGTCTGAGGCACAGGCAGTGGAGGAAACTGTGTCCATAGCAAGAGTGTGGGTCTGGACATAGAAGGTGCAGACACGGAGGAGCTTGTTGAGGACTCTAAGGAGGAGCTGACGCCGGAAGAACTTGCTGAACTCCAGAGTGAGCAGCAGAAGGCGCTTGTTGAGCAGCACTCCACTAGGGAAGAGGAAGACAGGGAGGAGGCTGGCAGTGATGTGATTAAACCCATCATGGAAAATGGAGTGAGTGCCAGGGTTTCTTGAGAAGAACCACCCCAACACAACTGTAAGGAACAGAGTGCTGAATCTGATGAGCCATAATGTGGTCTCTCATTCCTGGAGGGTTGTGCGGTGCAGGAAAAAACAAATGACATTAGACCAATTATTTTTTTTGTCAAAATTGATGCTGCTGCTAAGAGATGAAGAGAGGAAACCCCGAAGGAGATCCCCTGGATGTCCCTATGAAGAGGACTCTCCCTCATAATAACCTCTTCCCTGCTCAGCTTTCGGTCCTCCATGCCAAAAGTCACCTCAAGCAAGGTGAGTGTTCTTGCTCTTCACACTGTACTGTACTGTTTCATACTTTTGTGGTTAAAAACATACCTATGGTTCAGGATGGATTAACCTTATTTACATTCAATTTTATAGGAAAATTTAATTTGGTTCACAATGAAAATCAGTTCACAACCATGTTCATAGGGGTCAGAACAGATAACCTTATTTACATTGAACCTTATGGGGAAATGATTCGGTTCACAACCGATTTGGTTTATGACTAAAATCATGGAACAAGTTCATGAACCAAGGTACCACTATAACTAGAACAGTGTTTCCCAAAGTGGTCCATAAGCCACCTAGGGTGCTCAACATTTCTGTATTTCTGCATCATAATTACAAGTATCAATATGAACCTAAGGATACATTTTATCTTTAAAAATTATTCACAAATATTTCCTAACTCTAGCCTAGCCACCAAAACAGACCAGAGGTATATCCATAGAGAAATGGTAGGATAAATGCTTACTTCTTATTGTTTGCATGTTATTGTAAATTCACAGATTTAAATACTTGACACATTAATGGTAAAATTGTAGTCCATCAAATATTTAAATTCATGTGTTTATAATAATATGCAAACAACAGCAACTAATTTGTCATCTTGAAGAATGCTAGAGACCCAACCCTGTATTTTGAAACAGAGGGAAAGAATCGGCATTGGTCTTACCTTTCCTCTATGAATGTGGCTCTGGGTAACCAAGTAGGTGAAAAAGACAGCCTTCCTTAGATGTATTTCAGCTAAAAGACAACAGAAGAATGAGGAATTAGAATAGCACCACTCTGCAGTCTCTAACGGGGTCTAAAACTGCCTAGATCATCAGTGCTGCTGTCTGCACAGAACAAACACAGCCAAGCACCGTGTGCCTCCTGCGCGAAGCACACACTCGCCGTGGAGCTGTCCTGCCACAAAAATCAAGCCTGTATGTGATCAGTACTCCAGACCTAACCACAAATTCAGTACGTATGGACCAGGGAGCCCATTTACAGGACAACAATTAGCAAAATCCAGATTGTGGGAAATCATGAAACAGTCAACCTACTCAACAAACAAGTTACAAAGGTAGAGGGAGAGAAAAAAGGAGAACCTATTTTATAATGTATTAACATATACTTTTAAAAGCCAGTAAACCCTGGTGTTATACAGTATTTTGCCACTGTCGTCTCAAGTTAAGCCAAACTGAAATTCTTTTTAATAAAATGAACTTACTGTTTTCAAATTACTATCTGTGATTACTGTCATAAATGCAACAGAAGACATAGAATAGTTAAGAATTTGGGTCACAGAATCAGAGTCACCAGGTGGAGACCTCAGCTGTGTAATTAAACCCAAGCAATTTTCCCTTTTTTTTTTTTTTTGTCTTTTGAGACAGAGCCTCACTGTATAGTCCAGGCCAGCCTTGAATTCACTATGTATCTCGGGCTGGCTTGAACTCATAATCCTCCTGCCTCGGCCTGCTGTGCAAATTAAACATGTACACCACCATGCCCAGCTATAATTTTAGTAGCTGATCCTACTTTTAGCAGGATCAGTTTCTTCATCTGTAAAGTGAAGCTAATCCCATTGACTAGAGAAGGTTGTTTTGGTGATGAAGATATTATTACATGCAAAGAACTCAGCACTGAGTGACTCACAAGATATGCCAAATAAATGTAGAAGTATTTTAAATAATAATTATATCATAATTTTTAAATATGCATCAGAATAATCACAAAACTACTTAAAAAGTTACTTCTATATTCACAATATTCAAACACACTAAGACTCATCTAAGGAAATATCAAAGAGGAGGGAAAAATAATTTTAATATGCTTCAGACAACTTTAAATCTATGTTAACAGATTAAGAGCAAATATTTAACATCTATGAGGAAATCAAATTAATAACTGTTAACATTTTGTTACTATAAGGTAGTACTAGCCTTGGACCAGTAGCTATTTGCAAAATGAACCCAAATATAAGGAATATAAACCATTTGAGTCTTGGGGATTCTATTCATTGAACAAACAGAAGTTATGTCAGACACTGTGATGTTTGATTGTGTCAACTTGAGTAAGAGGCTCAACTCAGTTGGCTCAGCAATGCCACACCCTGGGTTGTGGAAGACCCACCCTCGGGCAGCTTGGGGAAATGAAGGACAGAGCTGCTTCTTCAGAGGAGCTCCAGTCTTCACCTTCACCTTGGATGTCATCTCCTGGCTTCCACACAGACTCTTCAGCCTTTCATCACAGATACATCAGCCTCCTGATGACAACACTGCGGTGAGCTCAGACCTTCGACTGAATCCTTCGGTCTCCAGTGTGCAGACAGAGCCTCTGGTCATTTCCTCATCCGGTTCTGCGGGCAGCCATTGTGAGCCAATCTTGTAAATTCTTATATATCTGTATATCTCACGTTATATCTGTTTCTCTAGTAAACACTGAATAATACAGATTTAGATGAAAAATTACAAAGAAGGGCCGGGTGTGGTGGCACACACCTGTAATCCTAGCGCTTGGGAGACCAAGGCAGGAGGACTGCCATGAGTTCAAGTGCAGCTTGGACCCTGTCTCACAAAAAAAATTTTTTAATAAAAAGAAATCTTCCTTGATCTTAAATAACTCATAACCTGTTGAAAACAAGACATATTAAAAGCAAAAGAGAGTATGATGAGGTTTACGACAGAAGCACGTGAAAGTCTTCGTTTCACATGAAAAGCAGGCCTGAGGCTGGAGCAGGGGCGTTGCAGGGGAGCAGGTGTGATTGGTTTCAGAGCCCTCTCCCCACCCCGACAAAAAGTGATGCCTGGATTAAATTTTGAGGAGTTTCGCTACATGAAAAACTGAGGGAAAGTGTGTTGTATACAAAGAGGTATGAGAAAGTTCTGTTTTGAAGCTCCAGTTAGACAGGAGGAGGAAGGTCTACAGATCTACATTACAGCGTGGTGACCACAGTTAATAACAAGGTGCTGTACACTTGAAAATATATAAGTAGCTGTACTATATACACACACACACACACACATATATATATATTTAGTTTCCATTTTCATCATTTCCAGGCTCTACGATGCAAACATGATTCCTTTTACAAAAAAAAACTCTCTTTTTTCAAACCCCAAACATGAACGTGCCTCCAAACTCAAATTTGCCACGTGCCTTAATAAAGAACAGTAACTCTGGTAAGGCTTGTAGGGTTGTTAAAATTTTTAAAGAGGTTATAACAAATTAAAAATTCACTCTGATATGTGAACACTATAGAATTTTATCTTCACTTATGTGAACTGCCTGGAACAGCCTAAATTTTATCCAGAATTACAATGCTCTACAATTTCTATCAATGTAATAGGCAACTTAAAAGCAAGTCACTCTCAAACGGGACATTACCTTACTTAGTAGAAAGCAGTTTCTTCTGGGCTGGGGATTTAGCTCAGTGGTTCTGGTGCCTGCCTCACAAGCGCAAGGTCCCAAGTTCGATCCCTGGTACAAAAAAAAAACTAAGAAAGCAATTTCTTCTAATTTTTTCTCTTCCTGTTAAAATTAAATACCCCAAGAAATGTATTTTTATTCCAAATTGAACTGCCTTTAAACAAGGTTTTTTGTGTGGGCTCACAGTACTTGCTGATTTCAATCTTATCTAGGTTTTTTGATCAAAATATAATTAGCATATTCATTCACAAATGGGTTATGAAGTAGAAATTCAAATATAAATAAAATATAGTCCCTGATCTCAGGAAATACTGAGGTCCAGAAATATTAAAAGAAATGATGACACTACAACAATACATGTAGTAAAGGTAAGGTATAAACCAATTCTGCAAGCATAAACAAGCAGAATCAACACAGCCAGAGAGGATGTGAGAAGCCCGAAAGGTGACATGTACATGAATGCCATCATCATGTACTGCAAACGTGCACTAATAAAAATTTAGAAGATTAAAAAGCAAACACACACCACGGCAGGGCTCCAGAGACAAACTGGTGGCAGCAGAGCCGGTGCAGAGCAGGGCCTGACGTGGTTAGGAAGCGGCCAGGTGGCAAAGGAGATCTGAGCAGGAAAGCTGTGTACAAAGGACCACGCTAAGCTTCTAAGAGATGCTTTAGGCTTTTCTCTTTCATTTTAGGAAAGGTACATGGCTTTAATTTCGTAGTTGTCTAAATTAAAACCATAAAGCATGATTCCTTTCTACTTAGCCAAGTGAAATAACTTGTATTTAAAAGGTGGCTCAGAGCCTCTCGTTTTATTATTATTATTACTCCATGTAGCTTTCAGAATTAAGAATGGCGTCAGCATTTGTTTAGTGCTCATAGATATAGGATTAGACGTAAATGTGGAACTCAGGCATCAGATAATGTACAACAAACAAATAGTACATGTAGACAGGAATGTATCAAATAGAACTCATTTCTTGGGCTGGGGATTTAGCTCAGTGGTTCCGGTGCCTGCCTCGCAAGCGCAAGGACCCGAGTTCAATCCCTGGTACCAAAAAAAAAAAATAGAACTCATTTCTTTACTAATAAAATCACGTGGTTTTCACCAGAGAATCAATTATCTTCACATTTCCTAAACATGAGTATGTTCCAAAAAGCTTAAATCTAGCCTTTACATTTATGGACACACTTGTGCACAAGGTGGTATTATAATACATAGGAATCTCCACAATGGTTAGAAATAGTCCAAATCCCACCCCCAGAGAGGATCTCACCTTTGGCAACACAAGGTCACAGTCAGGAAGGATCAGTGGCATTCTCTCTGATCACCCTCCAACATGGAAACTCATGAATCTTTGTTTTAATCGTGCTGTGATACCTGATTTTCATGCTGGAGAGGTGGAGAGGTGTTGCTCCCACTGTCAGACAGTACAGGTACAGAACGTGCGCTCTGCCGCTGATCTGAAATCGCCCTCACGGACTCTACAAGCCTTAGCTTCCCCCTGTGTACGATCAGGTGCAGTGATGGACTCAGCGAATGCCAATGAGGGCTCCAGCTGATGCCGCTGAGCACCCGCCCAGGACGCAGCACGAGCCAGAATTAAGCTCATGTTAGTTTCTTCCCACCGCCTTATCGAGGTCTTTTACTGGGTCATTAAAACAGCACAAATTAGTCTCATAGTCGAGCAACGTATTTCTGTAACTGGGCAAGTCTCAGATCATATTTATCAGTCTGATGAATGGTTCATTCCAGAGACAGATACAGTACCATCCAAAAACTTCCTGATGTCCTGTTTCTAACTATCGCGGCTTGCTGAGTCAAAACAGCTTTATTTGAAACAAGTGCAATTTCATTTCCTTCAAAGATGAACTCATCTTACTGAGTTTGAGACACTACCTGAGTATTCAGCCACCTCCCAGTGCCATAAGTGCTTCACAAACTGGCTTGGCCTGTTCAGTTACTGAACACTATGGGAATAATGCCCCGGATTTACAAAAATGGCTTTTTTACCAGGAGCTTAACCCACTTACAAGTAGCAGTTCATTACTGACAATGACAGGATCAGGCAAATATACAACCATATTTTGCAAGGAAACCAAACCTAAGAGAGTATGTACTTTATACAGACAAAGCTGGTCAACAGAAAAGAAAGAACTCAACTCAGAAATTTTTGCCTTGAGAGTTTTTCCAACCCAGACAGCATTTGTTCAGTGATCATTGCTTCACCTACATTTTGCAAAACTTCACTCAGTAAGTGTGCAATCTATATACAGTTCTGACTACACAATGTCTAATGTTTTCTTTATTAAACTATACCAATGAATTCTAATGTTTGAGATTAATTCTCCCTAAGTTTGGCCTTTTCTGGGGACACTTGCTCTTATTGTATTAAGTATAATAAACCTACTACAAATAGAATAAATTAAAATTTTATACAAAATATGTTCTCATCCATGAGCTTTTTACACTTCATCTTGTTTCTTTTGACCATTTGCTTTTTGTTTTCATCAAGTTTATTGGTACATTTTAGGTATACAGTACAGTTACATTCATCAGTGGGATCTTGTACCTTTACATGATGTATCTCGGTTCTTATTTTTTCCCCATTCCCCTGCCCTCCCTTCACCCACTCTACCCTTCCCTATTAGCAGACTTTGTTTGCATTTTTTCCTTTTCTTGTATTTTTTCTTTTCCCTTCTTTTCTTTCCCCTACCCCTCCCACTTCCCATACTCTTTAGGACCTTTTCTTCCTATTTTACAATACCAATTACACATTTTATTTTCTTTTTTTCTTTTCTTTTGGTACCAAGTATCAAACTCGGATCCTTGCGCTTGCCAAGCAGGTAGTAGAACCACTGAGCTAAATCCCCAGCCCACCAATTATACATTTTGATCCTTATTTACACATTTAGTTTTTCACACCAGAGAAACTATTTAGTATTTGCACATGTGTCCTATTTATTTCACTTAAGAGTATGGCCTCAATGTGCATCCACTTAGCTATAAATGTCTCCAGTTTCTCATTCTT